CAGGCAGACGGTTGTACTCTTGCTTGCCTCCAATTACACTGATCTGTACACTTGCAGCAGGTTCTCTTGCTGATCAGTCGCCAGGGTTCGCCCTGACTCCTTACCCTTAAGTGTCTTATCAGGGTTGGGAGTGGTGTCGATCTCTATTTTGTTCTGGGCATTCCTGAAGGGCGTCCCTCCAGATGTTGCTGTTCGACTGCAGGTCCCATCATCTCTCACCTCTGGTTGTGTTAGCTCTGGGGCTGATGGGAATTGTAGTCTGGCAGTATCTGTAGTTGTCTACCCGTGAAGGATGACAGGGTGGGTGATCAGTGTGGGAAACTAATCGAATGAGTATTTATCACGTAAAGATGTGCTTTTATTAGAAATGTTCATATTGTCTTGCTGGCTTGCTTTGGAAGGAAGTACATCTTTCTTAAAAGCGTGCTGTATGCTTTAAAAAAACCCTCAACATCCATAAAGTGTTTGGTGCCTTTCTGCAAATAACACTTTTTGTGAATCCAGACAAGACAGAAATCTTCCATGTGGGTGACCCTGGTGTCAGTGGGTTGGGAAACTCCCTCTCCTTTTGGGGAGTGACTCTTCCCACGAAGAGTGAGGTTCACAGCTTGGGCGTCTGGCTGGACCCGGATCTCACCATGGAAACCTTTGTGGCCCGGGCAGCCCATTTCCATCTTCGGAGGATTGCCCAGCTGCGTCCCTGTCTAGAAGTGGGGGCACTCACGACACTGATTCATGCCCTTGTTAATCTCAAGAATAGACTACTGCAGTGCTCTCTACGTGGGGCTACCCTTGAGGTTGATGTGGAGACCTCAACTGGTCCAAAATTCGGTGTCCAGATTAATAACTGGGGTGAAGAAATTCCAGCACATCTCCCCCACTCTGGCCACCCTTCATTGGCTACCGGTTCATTTCCACATCAACTTCACTGTTGTGATGATAACATTCAAAGCCCTAAACGGTCTAGGACCTAGGGACCGATCAGAACGCCTGCTCCTGGCCAGATCTGTCCGTAATACCCGTTCCTCACAGGCAGGGCGGTTGAGGGCCTTGATCCCGAAGGACAGAACCGGAGGGAAAGAACAAGAAGCCGGGTCTTCTCCGTGGTTGCCCCTTGCCTATGGAACAACCTGCCTATTGGGATCCCCACCTGGCACCCTCAATGGATGGGTTCAAATGAGCATTGAAGATTTCGCTCTTCCACCAGGCTTTCCTGGAGCATTAAGATCTTGCCGTCCCTTTTTGCTATCCTCTCCATCACCGTTTTTACTACCTTTATTGCCATCTGTTTTAATCTCCCTATTATGTATTGATTTATTTTTAAACTTTTTTTAGTATTTTTCCTAATACTGTTGTTAGCCACCCGGAGTGGCCTGGTTGGCAGAGGGTGCGGGGTACAAATTCAATCAATCAGTCTGGCCTTCTGTGTGGTTTTATGTGCGGCTTGGTCTGTGACTCTCCCATTCCTCCTGTTCAGCTGCTTTCTGCTGTGCATGAAGGACGACAGCATCGAAGGGATCTACGACACGCTGAAGCAGTGCGCGCTCATCTCCAAGTCTGCTGGGGGCATTGGGGTGGCCGTGAGCTGTATTCGAGCCACGGGGAGCTACATCGCCGGGGTGAGTTTTCCCTCGGACAAGCCCTTCCCTTGTTGCCTGGAAGTCGATTCTGAAGAAGCAGGGGTCGCCCGCAATAGCCCACCCTGAAGCTTAACTGTTTAACCTTTAAAGTGACACAGGATCTTTTATTCTACTTTATCTTACTTTGCTTCGGTCTGGAGATCGGCCGTCTTCCAAAGCCCTTTGCCTGCTGCTCCTCTCAACGTGCTTATACCTAAGGAAAGCAGTTTCTCTGTTACCAAAGGGGTGGCCGTTTCTAGGTCTGGCTTAGTCACCTGCCTCTGTACGAGAAATGAAAACGGCCAGCCCTTCGGGAAGCCAGTTCGCTTTTTTGAAACCGTTTTCGTTTTCCAGACAAACGGGAACTCTAACGGGCTGGTCCCTATGCTGAGAGTCTATAACAACACAGCGCGCTACGTGGACCAAGGCGGGAACAAGGTACGTTGGCTTCTTCCAGAATGGTGTTCCTGAGTTATGGGGTTGGGAAGCAAGCTGTTAAAAGATGCTCCTGGGAATATCTCTCTCTCTCTCTCTCTCTTTCTCTCTCTCTCTCTCTCTGCAATTATGCTGAAAGAGAAGGTGTCCTCCCTTCACAGACATGGCAGCAGCAGCAGAAGCAATTCTTGGTCAAGCGAGGGAGTCTGGTCTGCATCTTGTTGATCGTTTCCCTTGGGAGGTTTCATAGAAATTATAGAAAAGTGAAGTTGGAAGGGGCCTGCGAGGCCATCCAGTCCAACCCCCTGTGCTCAAGGCAGGAATCCGAATCCAAGCGGATTTGCCAGGGGATGATCCAGGTTTTTTCTTGAAGGCCTCCAGGGTCATGGGTTCCACCATTTCCGGCTGGTGACTGGATCCTCTTCCCCCCCCCCCAATCGCAAAGGCCGGGTGTCCCCCGAGACCCTGGACATTTAGTTGGCACCTCCAGGATCCCTCAGGCTGCAGAGCAGGATCTGCAGGTTCTGGCCGGCTTCAGGAGTCACCGTTTTTGTTTGCATTGGCCATCATATAAGACACGCAAGGGGGGGGCGTCTCGGGGGGGGCTGCGTCCCTCCAGGACTCGCAGGGCTCTTGTGGTCTAAGGCACGGGCCTCCCTTAGCTTTGGGAAAGTGAAGGCCCCCACCCCAGGAAAAGCCGTTTGTGCCTTGTGAGGAGCTGCCTGTGGAAGGCTTGGATGCTCTTGGACCGGCTTGCTGGATTTGAAAAGCAGCTCTGCCTCATGAGAGTCTGGTGGGTTGGGAATCCCGATCCAGACGAGGGGAGCAGTCTTTATGGCGGTGGAGAAAGTTTGCTGCTCCTACTTTCTAGAAGCCACGACGGTTCTTCTTCCTTTTCTTCTGTTTGTTTACCACCACGATGAGGAGGCCAAGAGGGAGGGCGAGGGAGGCCTCTCTTGGGGGGGGTGTAGGCTGTCCTCTGACCCGGATGTCCTCCTTTGCCCCGACAGAGACCGGGGGCCTTCGCCATCTACCTGGAGCCCTGGCATTTCGACATCTTTGAGTTTCTGGACCTGAAGAAGAACACGGGGAAGGAGGAGCAACGCGCCCGAGACCTCTTCTACGCCCTCTGGATCCCAGATCTTTTCATGAAACGCGTGGAGACCAACCAGGTGGGGCTTTGACTTGTTCTGCAAGGCTCTGCCAGCCTGCGTTACAGGGCAGAAGCATTAATCGAAGCGCGGCGTGCCTCTTGCAAAGGGTGAGGCGAAACACCCACACGTGTGCGCACACACACCACCTCTGAGCCACAGGGCCTCGCTCAAGACTCCTTGGGAGACTCTGTTGGTTCACAGGGTGGGACTTTTGGAGTCTGGCTTGCTGTTATCTTGCATTCCACTCCTTACGAAATGTGTGCCTTACGAGGTGATGGATGACCTAACGAAAGCATAAAGTGTCCAGTACGAACGGGCCTAAAATGTGTCTGTGACAGTGCCTCCTGGTTTCCTAACAAGTGACGGCAGGGCCCTCATTTCTGCTCCAAGAAAGACGGCAAGAGTGGCTCTTCTTCTTCTTCTCTCTCTCTCTCTCTCTTTCTCGGAAGAGGCCGTCTTGCTTTAAACTGAACTTCCAAAAGGTCTGTTCTCTAGCCCACAGAAGGCTGTGACGGCCCTGTATTCATAGGAGGCTGAAGTGGACCGAAGCCTTTGCGTGTCTCGTCATCGGTGTGACACGTCTAGCTGACCTGAGAGATCCTGCCCCTCTTGTCCTTGGCTCAGAGGGTGGACACCCGCCATGCTTCTCTGCTTCGGGAGGGAAAGCTGCGTTCGGTTTCTTTCCAGCGCAAGGCAGTCCTCGGTCAAGAGCATCTTGCCTTTGGGAGAAAAGAACGCCCGGGAGCCCCACGGGTTCACCTTCAGTGCTTGTCTTCTTTTTACAGGACTGGTCCCTGATGTGTCCCAACGAATGCCCAGGCCTGGATGAAGTCTGGGGGGAAGCCTTCGAGAAGCTGTATGAGAGGTAGGGAGGAGGAGCAGCCGGGGCCCTGAGAAGAACCAGCCCGTTCCCAAAGAACAGGGACTCAGACTGGAGTTCCTCTCGCTTTTCGCTCTTTGGCCAAATGTACACAACAAAGACGTGTTTAGATTAATTTTTAAAAACACTGGTAACTCGTTATTATTTGCTACTCTTGATGTTCCAAACGGAAGAATTTATTTATTCATTTAGACTCGTCTACTGTGACGATTAGTGATCAACATTACTCTGGGTGGTTTCCATCTAGAGTGAAACAGTCATAAAATAAAACAAATCCATGTGTAACAGAGGAAACACCACATGTAATCAAACAAAACCATCCAATAGATTTAAAAAAGAACCCCAGTGATGGTGAACAGGCAGTTTAGAGATGATCATATCCAGCGGGGAGGGTCCCGAAGGCTTCCGTGAACAGCCTTGTTTTAAGCATCCTCCTGAAAGCGGTGCGGGAGGATCTTCCGCGTTTCCTCCATTTATTGAAGCTTATCAGGGAGGAAAATGACCTATACGATTATGCTGTTCCTCTCGCTCCCTGCTCTGTGGGCACTGGAAGGGCAACAGCCGATGTTGCTCTTCATCAGAGGCAGTTGGGCCAAAAATGGGGCTCTTAAGCACGTGGCTGTTTTGTAGACAGAAGCAGCTCATAACGGTTGACGACTTTTCCCCGAGCTGCCCTCAACATTCTGTTGAGGTTCCCAGGTTCCTCTGGAAGAAGCCACAATAATCTCAGCTTGCTTGTTTAACAGAGCACGGGGTGGGCGTGCATGCGGGTGTATTGCGTCGAGATGGTTTTTCAGCGGGCCACTCAGCCCTGTGGTCGATGGAAAGCCGCAATGGCTCGAAGCTCTTTGCAGAGAAGGCCGGCGGAGCAGGGCGCCCGTCACACTCGTCTCTCGCTTTCTTTGGCAGCTATGAGAAGCAGGGGCGCGTGCGCAGAGTCGTGAAGGCCCAGCAGCTCTGGTACGCCATCATTGAGTCCCAGACGGAGACGGGGACCCCATACATGCTCTACAAGGACTCCTGCAACCGGAAGAGCAACCAGCAGAACCTGGGGACAATCAAGTGCAGCAACCTCTGCACCGAGATCGTGGAGTACACGAGCCAAGAGGAGGTGGGTGGGCGGGGCGGGCGCAGAGGCTTCACGGGCTCCCTCACTTCTGCCTCGCAGGAGGCTCGGCTGCCGTGTCTTGGTGAACCGCCACCTCCTGCCTTGTCGGTTGGCGGAGCGCTGTTCTGCCTCGCAGGAGGCTCGGCTCTCCCGCCTGCCATGTCTTGGTGAACCGCCGCCTCCTGCCTTGTCGGTTGGCGGAGCGCTGGAAAGAGCCCGGACGCGGCCAGACCCGTCTGTACCCTGCGCGCCATGAAGGGCTTTGCTGCACGGGGGAAGGGCGCTAGACCGGAGGGAGCGGGGACCCGTGAGAATTGGCCTCAACCTCGACCGGCCTCTTCGCTGAGACCGAATGCCCAGGGAATACCGTATTTTTCGCACCATAAGACGCACTTTTCCCCCACAAAACGGGGTGGAAAGTCTGTGCGTCTTATGGAGCGAAGAAAACAGATTATATTTTCCTGTTTTCTTCTCCTAAAAAATTGGTGCGTCTTATGGAGAGAAAAATACGGTAATATGTTTTCCTGTCTGGGTGCCAGCTCTTTACAAGAACATAGAGGCAGGACCCCAGGAGGCTGCTGGTTCTTCTTTCTTCACCACCTGAAGACCATGGAGAAGAAGGGGGCTGTTGGACAGAGGGGTCCCCCCCCCGCCCGATTCTAGGCTGGTGCGAGCGAGGCCGTCCGGCGGCCGCTCTCGTGGGCTGCCTGGCGGGTGCGCTCTTTCCTTTTCTGTCTCCCCCAAACAACGCTCTTCCCTCTCGTGTGTCTTCTAGGTTGCCGTTTGTAACTTGGCCTCCCTGGCCCTGAACATGTACGTCACTCCGGAGCACACGTATGACTTCAAGAAGCTGGCGGAGGTCACTGGTGTCATCGTGCGGAATCTGAACAAGATCATAGACATCAATTACTATCCTGTGCCCGAGGTGGGGAGCAGGGCAGGGCGTCTAGACTGAGGGGCATGGCTAGTTCAGGCTGGTGAACAAGGAGGAAG